TTTTGAACATAAAAAATTGAAATGGATGTTATAGCGAAATTACCATCTGAAATTAAGAGCATAATTTTTACTATGCTGGATGAAGAATCTCTTCATATGACCGCTTATGTTTCTCGCACATGGAGAACCATGTATAAATATGAGCGGAAACGTAGGCAGCTGCACAAGTTAGCACAAGCTCCTGAAGTTAAGAAGAGTCGACGTCTTGACATCAAACCGAGCATGAAAAGACTAAGGTCTTTTGAATTTAAAAATGAATGTTTTGTACAAGTAGATAGGTATCGATATTGTCGAAACATTCAGAGAAAAATGGAAGGTAAGAGAATAAAATGTATAAGATAATAAATTCCTAATTTTTTTTAGATTATTAATAAATAATAAATTTATGACGCCTAATTCCTTAGTAATATATGGTATAGTAATTTTATCTTTATTTAGTAATGTTTTAAGCTTCTATTTGACACTCTCTACTTTATTAGGAGTATATGACAATAATAAATATTTTACTCTTACTTATAATCTCATTTTAGTCTTACAATAAAATATTTAATTTTAACTTTATTTTATTATATAATAATGTATTACAATAGAGTCAAAATTGTTTAACATATTTTGATGTAGAGATAATTTATTAAAATAATTTAATGTACATTTTCAGTTTTACAGATTATTGAAAGTAATACATCTTTTACAAATTAAATTATAAACTCATAAATATACATTTATAATACATATATGTATTTAGATTTACAATCTACTTGTTATATACATGCATACATATGTATTGTTTTACGAGTATCGATATTTTACAGATATAGCATGGAATAGAACCAAAAATCATTAACATAGCATAGATCAGAACCAAAAAACGTCACATGGTATATTATCTATCAGTGGTAGCATCATGGCTATGTAGTTCAAGGTGCATATTTTGTGCACATAGAGGCACCAGTGAATCCAGCGAATCCAGCCACAGATTTGTATATAATTCTAGATTGCTAACTGATATAGCCAAAAATACGATACATAAGCAAAGTATAACCATAGTAATAACCATAGTATAAGTAGATATTATATTATTATATTATACTGTAATACACTGATGAATATCGGAACGTAGCTATATACTTTTCTGTTTAATTTCATTAGAGGATCTAACAACACTTAGCGCGTGAATCTGC